TTGTAACTTGATGTGCTGAAATGCAAAAATATTTTCAGCAACAAGATACAAAAAGTATCTGAACATTAACATCAGCTGATTAAAAAAAGAGGCTGGCCGGTTTGATGCAAGTGTTTATACATATATTATGAATTTTCTAAATCATACCCACCCCAATACTGGTCTTTAAATCATCATAACAATGTTTTTCTTTCCAAAACAGGACTCATTTAAGTTAAGCCTTCATTCTAAACACGGAATACAGAATTAACTGGACTGCTGCGCATAATGATGAAGTCAAACATCTAAAGATTTCCCACAAGTTCTCTTTCAAATATAAAGTCCATTTACTGCAAACAGAAAATAAGCTGTGAGTCAAATTCAATTCAGCAAACATTTATTAAGCACCTACTATGTGCAGAGCACTGGTTAAACTAGTTTAATCTTGATAGTTTATAAGGAAGCTCTGTGTGTGTGTGTGTGTGTGTGTGTGTGTCTTTCCAATACATTAAAATCTGTGACTAATATTAATTTCGAATAAATGAAGTGAATACTTAAAATTTGGATATACATTTCAATCTGGACTAAAATGTTGATTTTAAACTATGAAACACCTTTACAAGGAAATAATGAACTCCTAAAATTTCATTCTTAAAATACTTATTTTAGACCATGAGAATGCAAATATAAATACCTGACATGTTTGAATTAGGGGAAAAAAAAAACTCTTCCCATTCAAGAATACTGTATAGGACTGCTTGTGTTAGATTTTTAAAATAAAATCATCTGAATAAAGGACTTGGATTTTAGGAATGTTGTTCTCAATTACACATCAGCAAAGAACACTCACTTTCATATTTCAGTTGTGGCTTACTACAATGTCAAAGAGGGAAATAAATTAATCCAATCTTTTCATAATTTATTTTCAATCTAGTTTACATATGCATCAGTAATACTTGAAAAAACTTAAGATATTTTAATGTTTTATAACTTAATTTTATAATAGAAGTCCTAAAAAGGCACTGTATTTTCTTAGTTCAGTATGCAGTAAATTGACCATATAAAAAAGTATTTTATAGTTTCCTGGCTTCCTGAACTGTCTCCTAAATAAAACAAGTTGAAATGAAATATCTGAAACTAACCTGTCATTTTAAGATTTAACTGAGTCCTATTTTCAGAAAAATCTACCTCTGTAAAAATACCACACACACATACACACACAAGCGTGTATCTACACGCAACATGACCACACAACACATGCAAGATTCTCCAAAAAAGTCTGAAGGTGGTAGACGTGAATATTTAAGGAGGTAATGTTGGCAAGCCAAAATGTTATGGCACCTTCATACTTGTGCTCCAAACACTTGTACAGTTTTAAAAAACAAAACACACGCGAACATACACACTGTTTTAAAATCTTAGCCTGAATAAGAACATTTTGTGATGTTACTTTATAACACAGAACATTTGAAATTAATCACTACATTTCTAGGGGAAAGCCCCCAGAAGTGAAAAAAGGGTACATAGAAAGAAGCAAGCTGGTGATTCAAAAGGACAAAGATGTTTTGGACAGTCATTAGGGTCCACTGAGAATGCTGCATGGGGTTTAAATGCAACCAAAGAGCTAATAATGAATGCATCCACTTGAGAATACAGCAACTGTTTACCTTTTCCTTAAGACATAACAAAACTGAAAATATACATAATAAATAAAAACAAGCAAAATAATGCCATACAATTTTCTGTTAGTGTAAGGAAGGTATGCATTGAATTATCTGAAAAGTGGACATTTTTTTTACAAACGTAGATATTCTTACAGCACAGCGTTTGACATTTTTGGTACAAAATGTGCTATTGAGCTTTAAAAAATCTTTATAATAAAATCCTTAAGCTTTCCAATAGACAGTGATATTATATTAGAACAAGCTGAAGTGAATATTACACAGTAACAAACATTACTAAGTTACTGTATTTTAGAGCTGTAGTTTCTAGCAGTGAATTTATGCATGGTGTGAGATATATGTGTGTATGTGTGTATATGTACATATCTATATATCTCTGTATAATGTGTGTATATATATATATATGTATTTGCATACACACACACACACACATACATCACATACCATCACATATATGCATATCTTAAATTTTACTATAATACATGGCAGAAAAACTTCACTAAACTGAGGTGGAGGAAACATTATTTATACCCCAGGTAGCCAGTCTTGGAGATCTCTAGCAGGAGTTTAAAAAAATTAAGAAAATAACTATAACTTCACATTGTAAACGCATATAGCTCAATCTCTTGGTGGAGTCAGGGAAGTGTGCATTTTACTCTTCTTACTGCTCCAAAGGACAGAAAGAGCCTGTTATCAGGGAAGGAATCTTCTGCTCAACTTTAATCTTTCTGCTTGCCTAAGGGATGCTTCCAATTTCAAAACTGACACAATACAGTTAGAACTACAGAAAGAGATTTAAAAGATTTTAAAGTACAAGCCTTTAAACTCTTTCCAGTTTGTAAATAAATGCTTACTTTTCAGTGTTAAGTGTAAATACATGTACATTCTCTTCCTTAAACATTAGGATGACTGGTGAAGACCTGGGAAATACAAATAATTTTGGGAGATAAATTTTAAAGTTCTTTGTCCTGTACTGTAAAACTCTACAGGCAAATTACAATCTTTTGTGAATAAAATTATAAATGTAAATATATATATATATTTAATAAGTTTTATTTTCCAGTGAGACACTTCTTCCTTTGTGATCAAACAAAAAAAATTTGCCTAGAATCAATTTATATATTATCACTATTACAGTAAATTTAAAGCAGTAACTCAACAGTTACTCTCCTGCTCTTCCTATACTGTGCACCATTGCAGATATGCCACCCCCCTCAAATTGTAAACAAAGCTATTGAACACTGAAAATGTTATTTAAAGCTAAAATTCATATAAGAACTGGCCCATGAAAAGGAGTTTTCAAATGGTTTGTCCTGTTCACATTATGCAGAATTTCAATATCATCCATAATGCACATTAACTTAAGACAGTGGGGGTGGGTGAAGAGAAGAGAACAATGCTTGTAAATGTGGCCTGGAATACTTATCATAAGGGAGAGAGAGGCATCTCCTCTAGTGTGCACATCCCTTTACAGAAATCATATAGTTGCACACAATTTTTCATAAAAGGAAAAAGAGGAGAGCAAGCTGCTCAGGATCTTGTTTTATTATGTGCCTTCTTCAAAGGGAGAGTACATCAGTTACCTAATGTGTGTGAAATTCATAATCAATTTCGTTGACTTAAATTGTTATTTTCCTTGTCCATGGTAACAAAATGAGTGTCCCAGTTGGCTCCAAATATAATTTTTTTCCCTAAAAGTTAAGACACATTAACTGTACCTCATTAATTCAATCAAAAGCAAAATATATATGTACCACTCAGTATACAAAAAAGTTACACATTAAAAGTGCATATTTATCATTCTTAATTTGGCCCATTAATTTAATATACATTTGGTCATTATATGTATACTTTCTGCATGTCCAGGAATCTTCACATAAACGTGGGTCAAAATAAATAAAAAATTTCTAAGAGCAAATTTTTTGACACCTTAACCTTAATTCTCAAACATCATTAACTAGGGCATGAAGAAACACAGGCAAAAGTTTATTATGTGTTTCTCGAAGTTTGTTGGACAGTTAACATACAGACATGTATTACAAACTGTATTGAAAATACAATTCTTCCAGGCCAAACCATTGCATATTTGCCCCTACAATGAAAAATAAATTAGAATCAAAGTAGTGTATTGCCATAACTTACCTTGAAGGTAAGCAAGCTCTCCTGTATTCACAAGACTTGGACTGGAGCATTTCTGTAGTCATCTCCAATTCAAGTGTTTTTAGGAGAGCCTAGTTTTAACCTTCGAGATAGCACAGGACCAGAAACTATAAAATTCATTTTGTTTTTCAAAACAATGGAAGATCCTTTTGAAACTTAATATCTTCAGTTATCAATTTTACTGCATTATGGAGCTAGTGCAATCCTGCATAGCCTAGTCAAAAAGACAAGGCACAATTTAAAAAAAATTAGCCTATATGAACTAGAAGTCACTGAAGATAATTTAAGGCCTTGCAGTGAATTAGAGAGTAATCAGTCTAATTTAAAGCTGAAGATTAAACCATAAATTATCCATCTGAAAAGCAAACAATGCTTTTTCAGCTTCTGTTCTGTGGACAAGGATAACAAAAACAATTCTTGTTTATGGTTTGTATATTAGAATCCATCTGAACCTGGAGGAGTAAAAGTCAATTGATTTTTTCTAAAGTTCATGGAAGATTTCAAGACTGTTTTAGTCGTTTGCGTGGAATACCAAACTGTGGACACTGTGCAGATGCTAGTGCTCGGAAGGCCTCTGCCACTAAATGAGGGTGGGACTGAATCATAGATTTCCAGCCTGCTGTTTCCATTATGTCTGTTGTTTGGCTGAAAAATAAGTGAATGAAACATTTAATTAAAGATATTTCATAAAAAGTAATATTAAAAAAGAATAAAATGCAACAGCCATAAAAATTCTAAATGTTTTAAAACTTTCCCCAAGAAGAGATGTCGAAAACGTACAATCCATTAATATAAAATATTAACTAAAAATAAAACATGCAACTAACAATAAAACATGCTTTTAGCCATGTGATGCCAAACTGGTATGAATGAGTTATTCACTATTCAACTAATTTCAAACACAATTAAGAATTTTTATTCATTTGTTTAACCACTGTTTCCTGAGCACTTGTGTGCACATCATATTATAGGTATCCTGTAAGTGATCAACTTAAGTCTACTTATTATTTTCCCAAAGTCAGTATCTTATAACAGTACCTGGTATCAACTAGATAAACCTACTAAAAAAAACAACCTTTTATAACATATTTCACAGGGATTTATCCTTCTAAATCATCAGCCATGTTTGATAATATGTAACAGTGCAGATAACAATAAATGAGAAGCAATATCTAATTTTTTACTTTCTCAGGGTAATATTGTACAGTAGAAAGAGTCTAGGACTCAACAGTTTTCTAAGCCTACTCAATCCTTACCAGGAGCTTTTTTTACCAGAAGTTACTTAACACTGCATCTTAGTGTGCTAACCTGTAAAATGTGGATACCTACACTTCATCATAGTGTTGTTGTGAAGGCTAAATGAAATGATGCAAGTATTACATATAATATGCATAAAATTTAAATTTCTATATAAATGTTAGCCATCTAGGGCAAATTACCAGAGAAAGATGCAGAGATAGTTTCTAGACCTGGCATAAAGTATAACCAAAACATTTAATTAGAGTATGGACTTTTCAACCACAGAAGGTTGTAAAACCATGTGAAAATGAGTTTTCTTAGAACTGTTTCTTAAACATTCCTTTCTTCTTCCTCACCATTAGATCATGCCATTTAATCATTTAAAATAATGGCATTAAAATGTTACTGGCATGATCTAAACAGATGAATATGGAAATAGAACAGAAAAATGAAAATTCTTCAAACTGTTGAAGTTTCTATTCTCCACTCTACTCTCATTTCTGGATAATGGAAGGCTAGAAAGCTACTTTCAGAAATTATGCAAATTATATTCATAGATATGACTGTTAAGCCCATGGCAATATTTATTCCCATTTATAGAATTCAAAATAAAATGAGAATCTGATGTCATCTTACTTGCTGTTCCAGTTTTTCCCATCTTTACACCCAAACTGTCGAAGTACACTGCACCTGCAATGAAAATGTAAGCATACTTAGAGAATTTTGTTTGAGCACAGATGGTGAAGGTACAAGCTGATTAAAATCTAGAGATCACTTACCTATTAATGAACTCTATCGCTTGTGCTTTCAACTGTTCGGCACTGTGCAAATCTGCAAGGATAAGGATGTCAGCAACATTTTCTACTGAGAGGTTACTACACAAAGCTTCTTCACACATCACCTTCAGCCGATCCAGTGCATACTATTGGAAAGGAAAACACATGACAATTATACCTTTATTCAAACCACTAATTATTGAAATTATCATACATGCAATTGAGAATATAAAGTCAAAGCAAACAACAGGAAACTAAGGACATTTTAAAAGCCTAATCTCTACCCACTTTATGAAAATATCTTTTCATTAATATTACAAAAATTCCAGTCCCTAAAATGTGTATGTAGAAACAAACTAAATGGGGGGGTGGGGGAGAGACAGGTGAAACTACGATTATACAGAGCCGGGACAAGATTTTGAGTGCCTTAGGTAAGGTCTGAAAATTGTGGCACTGAATTGCACAAACCGAATCACAGGAAAAAAAAAATTCTTGATAAAACCTGTCTTTCTTCATTGTTGTGTGCCTAGGAAGGATATGGTACTGGGGCTCAGAGCCTTCCATCGTGATGTGAGGTGTCACAAAATATACCCTAAGAAAGTGGAATTTTCTGTCATTACAAATAGTAAGTTTGTAAAAAGTGGCATTAAAATGTGTCCTTCAATATATTTAAGGCAGGTGCTTAGCCCTAGTCCCAGCTCTGGACTTGTATCATTCCTTAATACAATATGAAATAAACATGAATACACTTCGAGTAAAAGATAAATTTTCTTTCTGAAACTGTGATATATTCAGTAAGGGGTCATCCAACAACCACAATTAAGAGTTCTTAAAAGATAGTTTCTTCTACAATCTACTGCTCATTTCTTTCTATATTGAAGTGGAGAATTGTTATCAGCTGGGTATTTATTGCTGAATTTTTTAAAAAGTTACTTAGTATATTAAAAAGCTTAACAAAGCCAAAGATTTTGTTCATAACTGTCAAGTAATAGAGACTATTCTGGCCATACCTAACATATATATTGAACTACAGGTATCCTTGCTAATATGTAACTATAGAAATAATATATTTTCATATAAGTTGTACTTAATTTCTTGATAGGTTTGCCTACATCAAGACCAAATGTACACATGGCTAGGAAAAGTGACTATGCATCAAATGAATGAAAACATCACCCCCAACTTTTGAAATAATTATATTAGTGAATTTCTGAAACCTGTCTGCTGTTCCTTTGGGAGATATCAGATGTGGAAGCATAACCATGACCATAACCATGACCAAGACAGTACTCAGTTCACAGCAGGTCCTTAAAGAAATTGAATGCAATAATTAGAGTGGCAATATATTTCATTGTCTCTGGGTTGCTAAATAGCTGCTACATCAATATTATTTTAAATAAGAATTAAGAACATTAACTTTATTCATTCATGTCTATATAATAATAATGTGGGATTTCTTTAAAATGGAAAGAAAAATGAAGTACAGGCACTTTAAAGCGTGTTCCTCAAAAGTAAATTATGTTACAGCTTTTTTAGAGAAAAGATAATTTCTTATATTAACGTAAGCAAATAAACCAACACTGATCACTTTAAATGGTGAGAGTATCCTAAGAGTGTTAAGTTGTAATCACATAATACTGTTGTCATTAAGAATCAAAATTTATTAGGGAACATACTTCTGATTAGTTCACCCAATCAAATCACAACTAGTAAATTCAAAGATATGTGACTTCTGCTTAATGCTAAAATGAACTGAAATCCCTAATCGCTGCTTTCATTTACAATGTAAGAAACAGCGCTCATTCCTGGAACTAACATCACCATTGAACATATTCTATATATAAACTTAAGTAATATATTAAGCAATGCCTAATTTTTACATAATTTTAATGGCAAGTGTTGAATTCTGGCAATCATAAATTCATATATATGTGGCTCTGGCTAAGATTAATCAGTACATTAAGGTGTCTTTATTAATAAAAAGCTGTCATTGTTTACATAAGGTTGTCTGTCAGGCTCAAAGGCATAGAAATGCATGTAAAACTTTAAGTTACTGTAAGCAAATCTGATTTCCAAAAGTCCTGCATTTCTCAATTGATTTATTAAAATAAAATCTACTTAGAAATACTACTTAATAGGTAGTACTACCTATTAAGGTACTTAATAGGTACTTAAATAAAATAGGTACTTAAAATAAAAGCTTTAAAATAATTTGCACATACATACTTCAATTTGGCAGTACACCTGCAATCTAATTCATTTACAGATACTAAAATGATGGAAATTATCAAATATAATTATTTGTATTTTATAATGAAATCCTTAGAACATCTGAATTTTAATTTCTCCAATCAATGATAATTGCTACCAGAATATTATTATATATCTCTTCAAGATTTATAAAGAACTTACTTCATATATATCCTTCTAACATCTGTGTCAAGTAGTAATTTAGTTCATTCCCATTTTCAAAAATAAGAAAACTGAGGTTAAGACAACTTAAGTGACTTGCTGGATCTGGCCAAACCTAGATTCAAATCTGATTCTAGTATTCTCTATAATATACCATGCTCTCTAAGTGAATTAGTTTATATTAGTAATTATACTAATATAGTATAGATAACCAATACTGTATTATCCAAGTGTTGATTAGCATTGTCTATATTATTCATTCTTATTCATTAGCCTCATCTTTATTAATCCGTATATATTTGAGCTAACTAGCCCACTCAGTGATTTGCTGCAAGTTTAAAAAGAATGAGAGGGGAAGCTAGGTGGCACAATGGAGAGAGCACTGGCCCTGAAGTCAGGAGGACCTGAGTTCAAATTTGACCTCAGACCAAACACTTGACACTTATTAGCTATGTGACCTTGGGCAAGTCACTTAACTCCAACTACCCCCTCAAAAAAAATTCAGAAAGAATAAGAAACGTTTCTTAATATTAGTATAAGGAAAATATAAATAAAAACATTCTGTGCAAAGAAAAAAAGTTCAATTCTTTTCAAAGCAAGAATTTTTAAATTTTCTGATATTTCAATCACATTCCCTCTTTTCCCCAAAATACAACATAAAGCTATTTTCTCTACAAATAAGAATTTTCAAGTCTATTTCTGAAGCAAAGATTATACAAATGGACTTTTAAAAAAGCTATATGATTGAGTGCTTTGCAAAGTGGATTTAATAAGTGTTTACAAAAATAAAAATATATAGCATTTCATATTTACTGTGTAAGAGACTATTATTAAAAGTGACATATTCACAGGGGATAAAAATGCAATTAAAAATTATTTAGTTTACAATACAATTTCTTCCCAAAATTATTTTCCCTCAAAATCAATTAGTTTTACTATAACTTTGTTCATTTCGAAAAAACCCCTTTCTCAACATTACCCACTGGATATTATTTCAAAAGAAACATCAAGAGTTAGCTACAGATTATTTCTACAACTCAAGACATTTAAAGGTTTTATTTTTTATAACAGCTTTAAATAAACATCAAGCTTGGGGACATTTTTCAGCCCCTTAAAAACAAATTACTTACTTTGTCTGCAGCTGCTAACAAGTTGTCAGCCATTTTGTCAAGGTTTGGTGCTTTCCCTGTATAAATGAATCTCATCATTTCTTTAAAAACTTCCGGGTCTACATCATTTATTTCTACTCGATTCTGTTATTTAAAATACAAGAGAAAAACATGAACCAGAATTAATCTTTTAAAAAAATAAACTGAAACCTAGTTTACTTCTTCCTATATAGCCTACTACTTATTATACATTTAAAATCTTAAAGCCATGTTTTAATAATTTCATTTTAAAATCTAAGAAACTGAAAAATCCTTCCAGTAATTCCAAAGCCCACAAAATGCACTTCCATTTTAGAAAAATACTGAGTGGATAAAAAAGCTTTTAAGGTAACTCCTAAGGGTTCAGAATCTGCTTGGGGATAAGAAACAGAGTAAGTGAAACAGGATCAAAGAGATTCCATTTAGAGTAGAATAGATCTGATAAAATGAGAGGTAGTTAAGCCCCGGTCCATTGTCACCAGCTACCTGCTGGAAATTTTCACTTGGATGTCCCAAGGTGAAATGGCCTCCAAAATTAAACCCATCGCCTCTCCCAACATTCCTGTCTTCCTAACTTAAGGGCACCACCACGCTTCCAAATCATCCAGGTTCCAACTCTTAAAGCACCCTTCACTCTTCCACAGACCCCATATTCAACTAGTTGCTAAGTCTTGTTGACTCTATCTCTACAAACGATTTTTCATCTGTACGCATCTTTCCAGTTCAACCTCTCCTCAACTCTCACTCTAGCATATTAGCTTTCTAATTGTTCTCATTTTCTCTAATTACCTCCACCCTCTAAATCAACCTCTCCACACAGCCAACAAATGATTATTATTACTGAAGTATAGGTATGACCATGTCATTCTCTTGATAAAAAAGTTCAGTGGATCCTCATTGCCTTCAGGATAAAACAGAAACATTTTCAGCATTTAAAACCCTTGAAAATCTGTAACCCTATCATTCCAAACAGACTTTCCATTTCTTACTCTTATGTAGGCCAAGTTGACCTATGTGCTGTGCCTACTGTGCCTAAGTATTCTCTCCCCTACCTTTATGCCTTTCCAATAGGCTATTTTTTACTTCTAGAACAAAACAAATTGTTCCAGTTGTCCTTGTTCCCCACTTGTACCCTCTTGGAATTCCTAGTTGTATTCAGTGAACAACCCAAATGCCACCTCCCACAGGAAGCCTTTCATGTTCCTACCAGTTTTTTGGGCTTTATTCCACCTCCCTCTCTCACCCTATCCCCTCAATAAAAGCAACAACTTCTTTGAGAAGTTAGGTTAGTTTTTCCCTAAAACCTCAAGACCTATTGGTTGAAGAGGACTAAGGATCAAAAAATTGTAGTAGCTCCCTGGTCACCTAAGTATAAAAGCCCAGCAAATCTCCTAGAACTTGACACATCCTGATTACTGATCACAATACTATGGAAAATAGTGGAGTTGTGTCCATATGAACCAATGTTGTATCTTATATACCAATGTTATATATAGTATCGAAAATTCTTTCCATACTAGTGTTAATATTTTTGATAAAAGTTAGGTGGTCTAGAAATGTTTCAATTCATTACAATGTCTAGCTTGACTCAGAACACTGCATTTTCTCCTCCCTACCACAGGCTGAAATTATTTTGTATTTATATATCAGTGGACTTGTTGCTTCACCACAGTAAGGAAAAAAGTTTCCTGAATGTGATTTACTCTTGTCATTTTTTGTCTTTGAATACCCAAATCCTAGCACAAGACCTGGAATATACAAAGAATTTAATAAATGCTTGCTAGACAGAACTGAACAAGAAAAAAAAGGTGACAATCCTGTTACGCTCTGCCACAATTACAATGCCTCTTTTATTATCTTATTAGTATCTTATTTGGTTCTGGGTATTATTTTTAAGGAAAAACCATGTCCAGAAAGTGATGAACCCCAGTCATATGAAGACAGGTTGAGGAAATGGGGAAAAGAGTAGGAAGAGTGGACTTAGGAAGGATGTTAGATGTCCTTCAAGCATTTGAAAAAGTGTTATGTAGAAGAAGGATCGCTTAAATCCTGCTTTTCCCCAGAAGTAGGAACAGATCCCACAGAAACAGACTTAAAGGAAAATTTCCTAAAACAGCTATCCAAAAGTAAACTGAACTTTGTTTGGAGGTTGTTGTTCAGTCATGTCCAACTCTTTTTGACCCCATGGACCACAGCACACCAGGCCCCTCTGACCTCCACCATTTCTTGAAGTCTGGCAAAGTTCATGTTCTTTGTTTCCATGACACTATCCATCTCATCCTCTGCTGTCCCCTTTTTCCTTTTGCCTTCAATCTTTACTAAACTTAAGCTTTCTTTTCCCAGTAAGTCCCATTTTCTCATTAAGTGACCAAAGTATTTAAGTTTTAGCTTCAGTATGTGACCAGGTATTGACCGATTTGACCTCTTTGCTGTCCAAGGGATTCTCACAAGTCTTCTCAGGCACCACAATCGAAAAGTGTTGATTCGGTGATGCTCAGCTTTCATTATTGTCCAACTCTCACAGGCACACACCAGAAAACCCAGTTTTCACTGTACAGACCTTGCTGGCAAGGTGATGCCTCTGCTTTTTAGTGTGCTGTCCAAATATGCCATAGTTTTCTGTGCAAGGAGCAAATGCCTTTTAATTTCATGGCTGCAGTCACTATCTGCAGTGATCTTTGAGCCCAATTTATAAAATCTGACATTTCAATTTCTTCTCCCTCCTACCAGTTGACAAGATCTTTGTTTTTTTGTTTTGTTTAAATCTTAAATTTCAAGGCAGCTTTGGAGGTAGGGGATTCTTTCACTGGGTCTTCAAGAAAGGTGTAGATAATCACTTGCCAAGTAAACTGTACAGAAGCTTCTTGTTCAGCTTCGGATAAGTAAATGGGGCTAGCACAGGGCAATGAAACTCAAATGCAAATGGATCCCTGTGGGATGCATTTTGACTTTGAAAATGACAAAATAACATTACCTTTGTTGTATTATACTTTTCTTTATTTTGTGCAACATTTCCTAATGTAATTTTAATCAGGTTCATTGGTAGTTTTGGGCAGAGCATTTCATACACTTAGCCCACATTCATCTGTTATTCTTTCTGAATTTCAATGTCTTAAAAGTGAGTAGCTGAGGCTGATGTCCTAATACCATCATCTCTTTTCAACATTATTTTTATTTTCCTCTCCTTCAGTCATACTCCAAGTTATGCCTTCCTGCCTCTATGCTTTTTGCTCAGACACCTCTCTGTTCCAAGAATCTTCCTCCTACTCCATTTGCTCAGTTCTTACCCATCTTTTAAAACCTAAGTTAAACTCTCAATCAGTGCCTAACACATTGTAATGGACACAATAAGTTCGTAATAAATGCTTTTTGAATACTGAATGAAAGCTATACTACAAAGAAGGTGTTCTGAATCTATTTTGATTCCAATCTAAATGTAAAAGTAATCATAGGCAGAGAAGGGACACATACAGATTTCTCTTGAATTTCAGAGGCCTAATTCAGGACTTTACCTCCACAAATCCTTATTTGCAGATTAACATAATAGCATTTGGGTAAGACACCCCCCTCCAGCTCAGTTAACTTTGTGCTCAAACCTTGGAGAAAACAGAAGAATGACTGGCACCATCATCATCATCACCATCTTTATTATCATTTTATATGGTGTTTTAAGGTTTGCAAAAAGCTTTATATATGTTATCATCAAAATTTATTGAAGAATGTTCTCCCTTCTATCTTTCTACTATATCTTTTTGGGGTAACATCTTACACTTAGGGATTTTATTGATAAGCATTTCTGAGATCATCCTAGTTTCATTTAAAACAGAATGTAAAGGGTTCCCCCTTCCAAATATGCATACTTTAAAAAAAATGCTAAAAATAACATAAAAGCTTTGACCCCTCATTTACCTTTTTGCTTTCTTCCATTTCATGTTCAAACATTGCATTAAAAACGAGGGAGCGAGCTGTAACAAGAAATTAATCATTAGTATTCATGTTTAGAAAAAAAAATAAACATGTTTTGATACAAAAGCAGAAAATACCTGCAAGAACAGATTTATGAGCTTTGAATTCTTGTCCTCTTACAAAAAAACTGCAATCAGTAAATCTCGTGGTTTCCCAGAGATTCCCTAAATCTTCTGCTAGTCGACATTCAGGTACTTTCAAAGTGTTTGTATTAGTCTGTCCTGATATATTTACTGAATCTTGGACCACGCTTACCTGCAAAAAATCACAGCAAAACAAAACACCATCACAACTGAGTACCAATGATCATTAGCTGTAATACCAACACTTACATTTCATATCTTTAAAATACACGTGTAATTTCTTTCACCTTTCTATGCCGACTATTTACTTTCTAAACACATTAAGTTTTTACTTACATTACAAGCAGTAAAACTTAATAAGATACCTGGCATGCAGTGAGCACTTAACAAATGTTTACTGAGTGAAGTAGTAAAAATAATACAAGGTTTACAAAGATCTATTTCTATATAGGATAAATAACAGAAAAGGCACTACAGAACATAATAATTCATGGAAGAAATGGACGTCCAATTAGGTGCCAGATTTCCATGTGTCACATATACTAAAACTCATCTAACTGCTTAATTTCCTTAATTTTTAAGATTTCAATTTATCATATATAAGAGGCCATATATTGGTATCCACCGGATAGCCTAAATTATATGGAGAATTTCAGTTTGGTTATGATACCATACTTATAACTATGGGATAGTGAATAGACAAAGATTTTAAAGCTTCTTTTTCATAAGGATTCCTATTACTATGATATATAAATTATATCTCTCCAATTCATCATAGCTAACCAGTAATTCACAAGTTAAATTTATTTATAAACATGTATTTAACAAAGTGATTCTACACTATATGCCAAAAGCTATCACAATATTACTTAGAAGCACTGAATAATTAAATTTCCGCAATAATAACTCAAGCATGAGTTAATCATTTCTATCTAGTTTATTACATAGGCTTTTTCCACTAAACACACACACACACACACACACACACACCTGTACATGTATATTTCCTTTAATTTTTCTAAGAACTTTTAAAATCAAAGTTAGTTGCACATGTCACTTGTCTACATGTAGACAATATCTATAGATATATAGAAACATCAATAGAATAGATATATAATGATAACAAAAATACATAACGCTAACAAAAATACATAACAAACATAGCTTACATTTATATAGTTTTAAGGTTTAGAAAGGATTTATACATTATCTCATTTATACAGAAGAGCTGCTTTGGAAATAGGTAAATTAGACAAATTTGTCAGTCCTGCTATTGAGATTTTCTTTTTAATTTTATGATAGTCACCTGGATACAAAAAGTTTGAATTTATATAATTCAAATTTTGTGGATATATCCTAATCTGCTATAAAACTCTATACTTCATTTGAAACTTCAACCCACAAAAGTCCTACTGTGATCCCTTACTATGGCATAAATATCTGATCCAGAGTACTGGAAGGTTGCAGCAATTAAGTTCTCTCATTTGAACCAAAGTCTTGCTCACTAAGACCAGTGCTCTTAAATGATGCTGTCTTATAAACCCATTTACTTTCTCTAGTCTTTAGCTTCTTTATTTATGAGATCATGATTGCACTACATATTTTCTAAGAGTCTTTACATCTCTGAAGTCTTAACAATATATTAAAGTACTATATTCATGTATTTTTCCACAGATATTAACAGGCTTAGCACTAGAGAGACTTTGCTCACATAAGAGTTCAACCTCCACCAATAGAACACTGTTCAAGACCTAGCCTAAGCATGGAAGGGCTCATCATAGATGGTTCACCATATAACAAATTCTTGGCCTATGGCAACTCAAGAAACATTTTTTTTCATTGTACACTACTAATAAAATAAGTGAAACTAAAAAATAAACAAAATATAGCATCTATATTCTCTCTACGAAAATTAGAAAACCTATTTTTAAAATTCTTTTCCAATGGACTAGGAGTTAGGAAGAAATCGATTTTTGTCCTGGGTTCGAGCCGCATCAATAACCAGCCCATTGGCTTTAGGCAAGTTACTTTCCCTCTCTGGGTCTCAGTTTTCTCATCTACAAAACAAAGAGGCTGAACTCCATCTGAGCAAGGTCTCTCTAGTGCTAAGCCTCTATCCACGGGAAAATACACAAATACAGGACTTTAATATACTGTTAAGATTTTAGGGATGTAAAGAACCTTGGAAATTATCTAATCCAGTCCTGATCTCATAAATAAAGCAACTAAAGGCAAGAGAATATAAATGGTTCATAAGATAGCATGATTTACAAGCACTGGTCTTGGTAAGCAAGACTTTGGTTTCAAATCATAGATATGATATCCAGTAGATGACTTTGAAATATTACTAACTCTCTAATCTCTGTTTCCTTATCTATAAAATGAGGTTAATAATATTCACCCTACCTACACCTCACAGGTTTCCTGGGGGGGCAGGAGGTTGGGAGAGAACAGAGAGCACTTTGCAAACCTTGCAGTACTATTCAAAGCTTAGTTATATATTTTGCCCAGGTTACAATCCTCTTTCTACCAGACTGGTTTCACTGTGTCTAGAATATAAGAAATATTTTCAGTATGATGGAATGTATTTTACTTATTGTTAAGAAAGCACCTTATCAAAAAAAATCACATAAAAGCTACAGAAATAATTCCTTGACTGAATTCAATATATTGTGTTATATTTTATAATTCCATAGACCAGAGTTCTTCTGTCCCATCCACTGACAAACTTCTCTATCATTTTTTTTTCCAGGAAGCTTTCTCTAGATTGATCATATATAACCTATCTCTGACTTACCTCAAGACTAAGATGCTTATGACAGTTTCTAATTCCATTTGACTACATAATCCCAATTACTCACTTCTCACTGGTATCCATTCACTATTTGTTTTTATAATCCAACTTAGTATTATTTTTCCCCTTTATATTATCATACAATCATATCCATGGGCTTTTATTAGTCCACATAAGTATGAATGAAATTATACTCTACGAGATTACAATTTATTTAGAGGGCATGGATTGAAACTATATAAATCTCTGTAAACAGAAAAGGTAAATATTTTAAGAAACTAATACTATTTAAGAAATGATGATGATTTAGACGATAGCTGTGTAAAGTTAGCCTAAGCGTAAAGATTTCTCAGAATGCTTAACTTCTGCCTATATATTTAACTATAATTATGCATTTAGTATAAAGAGTTGAGGGAAAGGTGGCGGGAAGAAAATGATTTGAATTTCTTTAGGAAATAATTAATCGAAAATTAAACAATCGCAATTAATTATGGATGAAATGTACCATTCTGCCATAACTTAAAATATTCTACACCATGAATAAGTTTATTGCATCAATATGGCTACCAAGAATTTTAACCAATACTCCATATCACAAAATAATTTAGGGAAATAATTTCTGAGTGTAGTGATGAGTTATAATTTAGCTAAAGTTTATGAGCAGCTAACTTTCAAAATAGGGGAAAAAAGAGAAAATTTAATTACATTTAGCTTTCTATTTAAAATGAGACCAGAGTATATAATTATAATTATAAATGTTTCTGACTGAAGCTCAGAATCAGAAATTCAGAAATAAGGCTGATAAGGTGACATTTTGAGGTAAAATGTCACCTCAAAAGGGTAAATGAAAAGTATAAATATACCAGAAAAACTCACCACTTCTTTCTTCAAATATGAAAGATGGTCCACTTTTGGGCCAGACCCACAAAATACAATATAAACTAGGAAGAGTACAAAGGAAGCCTATTCCTCTCTAGGTCTAAGTTGGCCTTATGCCAGTCATCTGTCTATTGAATCCCGTTCAACCTTGCTGTTCCATAAAAAATTAGAGCTGTTGGGACTTATGACTACTTTAGGCCTCTCAGACCCATCTGATGGGAAGTAAATGCTCAAAACTGACCCAGTTTTCAGGGGAATACTAACTAACCTAATGACTCAGGGCTACATGATAGCACTTCATGTCGCTCAAGGGCCAATCTCCCCAAGATACCAACCCTTCCTTACCCTACTCTTGTGAATCTATGCCAGGCACCAGGAGGTGCCAATCTAATTTTATAGTATTTGTAAGGGAATTTCCAATCTGTTGGATGACAGGAAAAAAAAAAAAAAGATTGGTTAAGCCAGTGCTTTATTTCTCCTACTGCTTCCTCAAATACTTTTTTTCCCAAAATAATTTTATATTGCCATTTAATACTTTATAATAAAAATCAGCTTGCTCCTAAAAAACCTGTTTTCCTCCTGGTCACTACAATGAAGTATGTAATTTGCAGGCCAGGTTATGTTTTGTACAAAAAGAATAGCACCAAACTGCCTTACCTGCCTACAGCACCACTTGCAGGGGAGGGGGAGGAGGCAGTTCTCTATGTAGGCTCTGTGCAACGCTTCCTCCTCTTCTGCAAGCAGTGCTGGTGATGCTGTGGAAGGAAGTCGCATCAGTGAGACTGGGCTAGATAAAAGATGAGGATATGTTTTGGTAGGAGAGAATAATAAATTGCTTATATATACTTTTCTTTATCTTGTCCATGATTAAAATGATTCTATACTACTTCAGGGATACCCTAGTCTATCCACATATATACAAAACAGTTAAAAGAGTGTTAGGTATTTTGGGATTCAAAATACTAAATCTGATAGCTGTCAACATATAAAGTGGGTCTTTTAGGAGAGGACTAATGTATTATGGAAAGGAAAACTTGATGTCTTTTTTTTCCCCCAAAAGATGTATCAAAAAAAGAACTTGATTTTTAATTACAGCCTTAATTCTGAATTTCTTGATTATCAGTGTTCCAAAATATTTTAAAAATGTATTTCAATATAAAAATTAGCAAATCAATTTTATAAAAAATAAGTTATAAAAATATTTCATAATATACTGAACAATTTAAAATAATTATCAAGCATAAGTTAGAATATTTCTATATTAAGAATGCTCAAAAATGCTTTTAAAAAAAGAAAAAAACTATATTTAAATTTAATAATAGCCCATAGGCAGTAAATGTTCTATAATATAAAATTAAATAAAACTTAAGAATGATTTTGTGATGAGCCCTGAAGAACCACAAGAAACTTGTTACATTTGCTTTATCAACCAAATAATTGTATTCATAACAAATTCCTCATACAGTTAATTTAACTTGTCTAAGAAAAATAAGACGCACTACATTTGTACAATGCAGTCTCAGGAGGCACATTTCAATTATTCCTCTGACACAACATACTGACACTTAATTATGTTGTAATCTTGCCAAGAAAACTGTATATGTTAAAATACAGATATTTAAGCTAAATTATTGATCCTTCTAATTGATTTTATGTACATATTAACACTGGAAGGAATGGAATTTAAGAATATATCAAAGGACCAACCTGCATCAACTGACACAATACATTTCTTTTATCCATAAGGCAAAGAAAATAGAGACAGTTGGATAAAAAATTTTATTTAAAAGTAAAATTAGAATTTTTTTTCTGTGTCAGTTGACATATCTGGTCCTTTTAGTATTACTTCATCTTGTGATACTGGTTATAGAAGTGGGTACTTTGACTCTAAAATTATTTCTCAAGGAACCTATTATTTTTATGACCAGTTTTAATATTCAAGTTAGACATTTTTATAAGTTTTTAAATTATAGTCCAAAAAAATTATTTTTACCTTTTTTGAAAAAAAGATATAAAAGGCACTACATGTAATCAACATGTGCAGAATGGTCACATAATCCCTTAGCTGAAGATCTCTTAACTGTGGAAAACGATACTTTTACTACCTACTTCACAGAATTAGGATGACAAAACTTGACATATAAATGTTAATATTAAAAATCAATAGGAAATATAATAGACAATACTAAAAACATAAAACAGAGTTTATCAAATAGAAGACATTCAATGACAGATAAACTTATGTTTCTTTCAATTTCCTCTGGGCCATCATTAGCAAAAAAATCAATTTCACCAAATGTATTTCACATTTCAAAAAAGTATTCTTATTTTAACATCAATTTGTTTTGCTTTACTTTTGTTAATTACAAAATTAAATTATATAACTTCATGAACTAAGAACTTTACCTACCTCGCAAAACAATGTAAGTTTGTCATCTGGTAAAAGACCATTAGCTTCATCAAGCAAAAAATCTCTCCTAATGAATTTTTTAAATCCCCAGTCCTTCCCCTGTACAAATCGATATGCTCTTTGGCTTTCTGGTGGAAAAGAGAATTAAAAGAAATTTCAGGATTCACAAATTCAAGAAAGTTATTCTTAATGATAACATGGCTACATCACAACTGGGCAATCATGTGGTAAATTTCAAAGTTATGTGGATCTATTCTTAAGAAAATGTCACAAAAAGCAAATGCAATTAAATCGTCATTTTTGCTTGCCACGTGTGTGTGCGTATATATGTATGAATATGAAATATAGATGATTCTTTTTGGCTTTCATCATTGTCTAAGCAATAGATTTTTGGATCTTTTGTTGAGTTAAAGGAACAAAATAGTGTCTGAGGCTACAAAGGAAAACCAATTTAATACTTTATAGGATAAAAATATACAATAATAGTATGTCAGTACATTACGCATGCTTATCAGCATCTAACACTAGTACAATGTCAGGGACCCATAATTATTTCCAGATAACCTACTGCCCGGACATGTCTCTTCCACAACTTATACCATCACAAATTTCATTAGCTTCACTTGGTTCCCATCAAATGCTGTACCTTGGCCATCCTAAAATGTGAACCATAGCCATCCTAAAAATGCTGAAGCATCTTCCTCACTCACCTTTCAATTGTCTGAACCTTAGCCCAAAATTTAATTTAAAAAATTTACTTCACATTGCTACTTTAATGCCATACAAAGTTTATGAAATATGTACTAGGTTTGGCTCTAGGAATAGGCTGAGTCTGTTTTCCAAAGACCAGTGTAATTAATTATGAAGAGGCATGTTATAGTAAGATAGATGAAGCACCCGATGATGAAATGTTTTTGACCATGGCAATTCACGAAACTAACCCTAAATTGGAAATGGCACTTAGTCTTTTGTGGTCACCTAAGCAGTGGCAGTAGAAAGGGGGCAAAAAGTGCTAAGTTTTTTGACCATCAACAAACTTTAATTTGATGGTTGGTATTCTAAATCTGAGATTCTTATCTAATGATGAAAAGAGTAGACCAAGTAATGTTGACATTCTAGTTATATACCAAAAACAGAAGAAAGGTGCAGGTAAATGGAAAAATGGTCAATCAATAATCTTTAAAGGTGCAAACAAAGGAGTTGGCAGAGTAGATTTTATTACACAAACAAAATTTACAAGATATACAATTTCTTGAGACATTTGGTCACTGCTTATTTCAAGACTAATGATAAGCCTTTACAAAAAAGATTTTCATGAAAATAATTACAGCTTATTCATCAACATCAGTGACTATGGCCATGGTGAACCTGTTCTATGAAGTATTTGATAAGAACATTCCCTCAAAGTCAAATCAACATACATTCTAATACTTGGGTGCCTTCAATGAAAAGGTGGGGAAAAATAGTGACAGTGAATAATAAATGGCAAAGGATGGTTCAGGAGAAAGAAATGAGAGAGGGAAAAGACTAGTAAATTATTCAAAAACTTAAATAGCTTCATATGATGAACACTTTCTCAAAAAAGAATTGGGAGTCACATAATACAACCAACTCTAAACATCACAAAGAATGAAACTAAGTACATTTTAAAAGACAGGAACACTTGGGAGTTACCCTAGAGTTGACTAACTATGCAAAGTGAACCATCAACTCAACAGAGCAAAGGTCAGAATTTATAATAAGGAAATGAGAAAAAGATATAGTGTACAATTAAAATAATTTAACCCAGAATTATTCAAGAAAACTACTGAAAATGAAAAATAAGAAACAGAAATTACATCGACATCATTATAGCAATTTAATCCAGACATTAAACCAACAAAAATCAATACTAAGTTATTAACTGTTAGAGAAAGCACCTGAGTCAGCAACTCAGAAAGTCTAACTTTCTTTATCAAATGGGAAAGATGGCTGCAAAAGGCAATACCAGGTTCAAACATAAACTCGTCTATAATATTTTGTGAAAAAGGAAGATGGAAAATTATGAAGAATACTGTCTCATAGAGAGAAGTAATGAAGGATAATACCAGTTTAAATAATGTATGGCACAATATCCAAATGGGCAAAGTCATCCCAAGGAATTTCTAGGATGAAAATGGAAAGACTCTAAACACACAAAAAAATGGAAAAGTGGAAATTGCCACAAACTTCATTTCTCCTTCAAGAATAGTGGAAGTATCAAACTTCAATACTAACATCACTGTTCCTGTGGCACTAACAAACATCAGAAATGGCTCTAAAGAGAACAAAGACAGGAAAATAACCTAGACTGGATCAAGAATATATTGAGGAGCTCCATCTGGGAGGTTGTAGAATTGTGAGCACACAAAGAAACCAAATGGAACATACCTGAGGAACTGAAAAAACTCTTGGAACTTGCTAGTATCTACATACTCCCACCCCACCCCCCCCAAAAAAAGTAAATTAGAAAATATCAGTTAACTACTGACCTATGTTCCTACTCTATCATGTACACAAAATCTTTATGAGAGTTGGCTATATAAGAATTGAAAGTATCCTCAATAACAGTATTAGTAAGGAACAATCGGGCTTCTGAAACATGATTCAATAACAGACCACATATTTACCATCTCTTGTAAGTGATAAAGAGAGGTAGAGAATACAAAATATCATCAATCATATTTACCATTTGTTGACTATGAAAAAAAGATCTGACTTTGTAGAACAAAACATCACCTAACAGGCTCTTTCATAGCAAGATGTCTCCTATCCATACAAGAAGATTAATTAGAATTCCTGGGAAATGTTACTGACAAAAATAACAGTATTCATCAACCCTCTAATAATAAACTCACAAAAGATAGGATTAAGGCATTAAATGGGAAAATGTATGCTAGGCAAAGGTTTTAGCCACTGTGATGGACACAAACAGCACAGAATATTGGTTGTGGAGTGATTACCTGTGGATGGCATCTTTAGGTGCTCCTGTTTATAGATGACATTGTGTAGATGGCATCAAGCCTCCAAGACACTGAAGAGCCTCCTGGAAGAGCTATGTAATCACTTAAAGGTCTGTTCATTCACAGAGTAAAGACCAAGTGGATGAAGAATGTTTATTGCCCAGAGTCCAATACACAGCTGAATAGACATTCTTGTTAGATTTTGTTTAAAAATATGTGTATGTGGGATAGATGGGGCCTACTAATCAATAACAACAATGAGCATTTATATAGCACCTACTATGTGCCAGGTACCATGCTCATTGATTTATTTTAACTTCACAATTTGAAGTGGGAAGCAGATTGCTATTATTATTTTCAATTATCGCTGAAGAACTGAGGCAAAAAGAGATTAAATGACTTGCCAAAGGGTCATACAGCTAGTAAGTATCTGAGGCCAAATTTGAACTCAGATCTTCCTGACTTCAGGCCCAGCACTCTATCCCCTACACCACCTTTAAAACTGGCAGTAGTTTTAACTTGCCTGGCAGTTAGATGCTATTGTTATCCCATTTTATAGACCAGGAAACCAAGGTAGACAGAGGTTAAGTAATTTGCCCAAGATTACATAACCAATGTCTGAGGCCAGATATGAACTCAGATCTTACTGACTTTAAGCCCAGCATTCCATTCACTATACAACCTTAACTGGTTGATGGTATTTTGAATTGCTTTTGGGGAACCGTAAGGCCCTTTTGCTGACAAGAAGTTTCCTGCAATAGCATAGGTCCATCTTTTCAATATAAACATTTTGCCAGCCTTCCTGTATAGTGGTGAGACACAGAATGTCAGTGTCTATTAAGAACTAGAGATAAGCATCACATAGAGTGTAATGGTCAGAATGAGAAGGCAGTAATATATAACCAAGAAGTAACTCTGAAGAACAAGAGTGAAGCATAATATTAAGGAATTATATGACAGAACAGAAAATAGATGACAGGTAGACAGCCCAAGTACCCCACTATTAACTTTATTCTGTCAGGAGAAAGTGAGAAAGGCATCCAATACGTTGGCTGGATGGCAGTGAAAGTTCAGGAGGATATGAATGAAAGTCACATAGGATGGAGAGTGATTTTCATTCTCAGAGAGAACTTGAGGTATGATGACACAATAAAAAATCCATTGGGTATTAAGAGTTTTTAAAGAGAAAAAAACTTTCTATAGAAAAGTATTCAACATCCAGTGTACTCAGATAATAAAATGGACAAATTATAATGGAATTCATGCTCAAATATCATTTTAATAATATATAAACTCTTTGACAATGGGAACTGCCTCACTTTTCTATTTCTCTGCCTGACACAAAAACAGCTTAATAACTCATTCTTAGTTAATCTAATTTAAAATATGAAATATAGTGTTAAAAATAGGTACATGGCAATACTCTTTATATTCTACTATGGATATGAAAATGTCCTTTTTATTTAAAGAAATATGTAAGAAAAAATATAAAAGTTTAGGCTTGGAAAATACTGATGAAATTACTTGGGTGTGATTTAATATTTGGAAATATAGAATGTGTTAAGCCAAAAAATTAACTATATACAGGTAATAACCTACTACATATGTGAAGAACTACACAGAGTTTTCTATTGACTTCAAATGCAAAGCCCTTGCCGCCTATCTTTATGAAATTATAGGCTACATTTCTGCAGGTGTTTCTATAGTAATCCTGAACAGGTTGTAGTAATAAGAGAAAGTGAATGACAAGAACAGAGGAAATAACAAAAGATACTCAAATCTTTCCAGTTTAACTATGTTCACTCAATCAACTGCTGGAAAAAAAAATAGGCAACAAACCATCTGAGTCATTTATTCTTCTCTCAGGTAAATTATTCCTTTTATTTTTCCAGATTATTCAGTTCTTTATGGTGCTCAAAGGGAAGCAATGGGGAATCTACCCCTAATAGTAACTCTTGAGGGGATAAGTAATATCCAGATAAAACTTCTGGGTTACAACAAACTATGATAATGGACCAAAATAAAGCAAAACTATTCAATACTCAATTTTCTTCTGTTTTTGTCCCCCTTCCAAAGAGAATGATATTTGGACTAGCTTGGAGGGAGCAGCTAAAGGGATTTGAAATTCAAGATATGTAAATAAGTAAGAATTGAAGGACTAGCTGTGATTGACAAGTTCAGGTCACCAGGCCCAAAGAAACTCCATTCCAGGATACTGGGGGAAAAAAATTACAAAACTTGCATACAAAGATGGTTGGGGCATCATCAATGATATCACAGATAGTAGAAAATGAGAAAAGTGACAGAGATCTAGAAATGAGCAAAATATGTTTTGGTTTTCAAAGAAGGCAAGAGACCGGAATATGCACACTATGGGACAATGAACTTGACTTAAACTTTGAGCAAAATTAGTTAACATTTTGTGAAGAGGAGATGAGGAAACAAAATAAGCACTTATATGGCAACCTCCTGTGCCAGGCACTGTGCGATAAGCATTTTACAAGTATCTCATTTGATCCTGACAACAATGCTGAGAGGTAGGTGCTGTTATTATCCCTATTTTACAGTTGAGGAACTGAGGTAAACAAAGGTTAAATGACTTGCCCAGAGTCACAAAGCTAGTAAGTATCTGAGGCCAGATTTTAACTCAGGTCTTCCTGAGTCCAGGACAAGTGCTCTAAGCACTGTACCAGTTAGCTGCTTCCATTGATAAAGGAGAGGTGACAAGGAACTAGTACGGCCTCATCAAAAAGAAGTCATGGAAATTATCTTTTTTGACAAGATTACATGGCTGGTAGAACAGGTGGAATACTGTGGAGATAATTTACCTATTCTGAGTTGGTTATTGTGAACAGGATAAAGAGAATAACAACATTACAGTGGATTCAGAACTAAGTAAATGATTTTACCCAAAGAGGAGTCATTAATGAGACAATGTGAATTTAGGATGTAGTGGTCAGCGGTGTGTCCAAAAAAGGGGCTGTTCTCTGCCATGTGCTGTTAATATTTTTAAAAATGCCTTGTATAAAGTGCACAGACAGCCTATTTAGTAAAACTGTAGTTGACAAAGTAGATAGTTAATACATTATAATTTACCAAAAAAAAAAAAAAAAAAACCCCAGAAAATAACACTAACTTGAATCTAATAAAATACAAAATTCTCTAAGAAATTTTTCAAAATATCAATTTCATAATAAAATAGGGAGCGTTGGTCAGAGGAGGATAATGTCTATCTTCAGGAAATTAAAGAATGGACTATCATGTGGACAAGGAATTAGGCAAATTCTGCTTGGCCCTAAGAATATCTGGTAATAGTTACAGAGGCAAATTTAGGCTCCGAGTAAGGAAAGGCTACCTTACAATGACAGCTATGCAAAAGTGAAAGTGGTTTTTTTCACTTGAGGTTTTCTGGTAATGGAGGAGATTCTTAGTCAGATATGGGTTGGACTAGATAGCCTTTGAGTTCCTTCCAAGTCTCACATTTTAGAAGGATGTGCACATGTCCATGTGTGTATTTTAAAATTTTAGCCTGTCACAAAGAATTGGAAATTGAGAGAATGCCCATCAACTGGAGAATGGCTGAGCAAGTTGTGGCATATGAATGTAATGGAATACTATTGTGCTATAAGAAATGATGAACAGGCTGACTTCAGAAAAACCTGGAAAGACTTGTATGGTCTGATGCTGAGTGAAGTGAGCAGAACCAAGAGAATATTGTACACAGTAATAGCCATGTTGTGCGATGACTAATATTGATAAACTTAACCCTTCCTTCCAGCAACACAAGGCATATTCCCAGCAATACTAAGACATCTCCAAAGGCTTTGCAATGGAAAATGCTAGCCATAGCCAAAGAAAGAACTATGGAATTTGAATGCAGATCGAAGCATACTATTTGCTATTTTTTTTTCTCTTCTATTGAGTTTTGTTTCCTCTTTCTGGTGGTTCCTCCTACTGGTTCTAATTTTTACTTACAACATCACTAATCTGAAAATATGTTTAATAAGAATGTATGTGTATATATATATATATATATATATATATACACACACACACACACACACAATGTACAGCCTATATTAGATTGTGCACTTTCTTGAGGAGGGTGGTGGGGAGGAAGGGGGAGAAAAATTTTAAACTCAAAAGCAAATGGAAGTGATTGCTGATAAATCAAAATAAATTAATTAATAATAAAAAAAGAAATGATGAGCTCAATGACCTTAGAAAGGCATGGAAAAACTTGCATGGAATAATGAAGAGTGAAGTGAACAGATCCAAGAGAACATTGTATACAGTAACAGCAACATTGTTTTAAGAATGACTTTGAGTGACTAAGTCATTTTGACTATTGTAAATACACAAATTAAAAATAAAGATCACATGAAGAAAGATGCTATGTACAGTCAGAGAAAAAACTGATAAATAGAAGCATGGATAAAATAATTTTATACACACATATAAAATATCTATGTGTGTCTAATGATAGGTATTAGGGCAGGGTGGGGGAGGAAGGAAGAAAAATAGAAATTTACCTGATAACTTTATTATGTATTTAAAAGGAATAGCAAGTTGTTCATAATAGATTTGCAGTTTTACGTGCAATTATCTTTTTTTTATTATACAATGTTATAGAAATGCTTGTTTTGTTCCATGAATTAAAAATAAAATAAAGTAACAGAGTTTGAGAGAAAAAAAAATTTAGTCTGTTGCAAACAGTTTAATATATCATCAACCACAATTTCCTGCCATCACCTAAACCTAACCTTAAATAAATGAAAAATCCCTGTGTTGTTTGTTGTTTTTTTTGCTTGTTTTGTTTTTTTGGGGGGTGGAGGTAGGGTAAGGAAATGCAGGTGAGGGAAAGTAGGAAAAGCACAGGAGTAACAGGAGGATTTAATTTAAATTAACACAGGGATTTCCTTATATTACTCTCTTTGTAAAATCACTTACCCATTGCTTTTGTTTCTTCCCTTTTAGCATTTAGAAGGGAAAATTTGAATTTTGCTCGAACTTCACTTTTGGGGCAGCTGACTAAAAGCAAATATAAGGACAAGTAGTCTTTACTTTCATCATCTAATCCCTTTGGATTTACTCTCAGGCACCTAAAATAAAACAAGTTCATATGGAGAAATGTAAGAGTTTAAAAGTTTCTTTTAAAGTGAGCTACAATGAAAATATCATCTATATTATATGATACAAATGACATCTCTACTAAGTCATCTGTAGTCCTTTAATACAATTTACTTCAAATGTAATCCATTCCTTACTGATGGCTAACAGAAAATAAAATGAGCAATATGAAGTAGTTTATAACAAAAAGTCTTACCATTTCATTTTGTCATTTGGGCCTGATGAAAATGTAGAACTTTTTAAAACTTCACCCATTTCTTCTCTACAAAAACTGAAGTTATTAATGGTCCACATATAGGAAAATTTTACTACTTTCACCTAAAAGAGTAAACAAAAATTACATTTGTAAGTTTTTTCTGCATTTTTCATATAGGTTACAGAGCTTTTGGGGTGGGGGCAAGGGAAGAAGATATCAAACCTGTGAGATCATAGGGATCATAGTAACTCCTACCAACGTATGCACTTTCTCTGAAATTTATAAGTCTAACAGAAATTAAGATCAGAGGAAGGACTTCAATACAGGCTTGCCTGACTCCTAATGCACTCTACAGTTTTGCCTTTCCCCAAAATGTTCTGAAAATGTTCTTCTCAAAAGAAAGTTATCTTATTATTTTATAGTTTAAAGTTAAGTATTTGATAAAGTATACTTGCCTGTGTATAACACCAACTTTCAGCTATAGGACCACAGGTCATCTCTCCAGGTGGAGGTGGGGTGGGTACCCTAGACATTGCCATTTTATTGCAAGTTTTTATTGTCAGGTCAGTAATCTATACTTCAGTACTTTACCTGTGAATAAAATAGGTTTATGTCAGCTTATTCAAAATTTTAATGACTAGAATAACAAAAGATTGATAACAAAGAACTGGAAACATAGTAGATGTCCATCAATTGGGGAACGGCTAAACAAATTAATTACATTGTAATGGAATATTACTGCTCTGTAAGACATGATAAATGAAACAAACACAGAAAAATATGGAAAGATCTATAGAAACTGATACAGTAAAATAAGCAGAGCCAAGAAAATAACACACAACTATAACAATGTAAAGAAAAAGAAGCACACATGAAGAAATCAGAAGTGAATGGAATATTTAGAACAAGCAGGGCTCAAAAGAAGACAGATATATAAGAAGGCCTTCCCACACCCATTTGCAGAGGTGTGACATCCACAAGTATTGCACATTACATGTATTTGCAGAGTTTTTTAACGTATTGTTCAGTTATACTGATTTTTTTCTTTTTTTTTATCTTTAAAATTGCTATATTTTTATATGGGATGGCTCTTTAGAAGTGGAATGTGGAGAGATACCAAGTTCCCACAAATGAGGCTGGGGATATCTTGTTTTATTTTAATTAATTCACACTCCAAGTAAGCAACAAAGCATTAAAATTAGATAAAAAATTAAAAGTATCAGAAAGATATGCTTTCAAGATACAACTGATTTTAAGAATAACCTCATGTAGTAAGGAAATAAGCTAGATGAGGAAAAAACAATAAAAAAGCAAGATAAATGGTCCCAAATCATAGTCAGTCAAATATATAGCTATTGTTCATCAACTTATAAAAATCAAACAACCAAATGACTATTATGTGTACAGCACTGCTCTCAAAAGAATTTAAAATCTAGTTGGGGAGACAAATAAAAAAGATGAATTAAAATTCCAAGGGCGAACTGAATAGTATAGGACAGTTAAGTTTCATAATAGATCACTGCCTACTGCCTCAAAGGCCTTGCATTCTGGAGGGCAAAGAAGTGAAGTATAGGAATGGTTCCTGGGGATGGGGTGAGGGGGATGGGGAAGAGGAAAGGTCAGCAATGAAAGTCCAGGGTCATTCCAAGAGTTGATTACTTAAAAGAATTAAGAATCATAAAAAAAGATTCCATTTACCATAATACTTTTTACCAAAGTCTTTACAAGTAAAATATTCTCCAGGCTGAAAAAATCAGTTACAAAGATAATGGAGGATCAAATACTCCCAGATGGGAAAGCACCAATGATTTTACTTGCCTTTCTCTTTAGATAGAGAAACCTCTATTTGGGGAGAGGGGAAGGAGGGCTAAATACCTTCTCATATCATAACTAAACAAGATTAAGGAGGACTATCTATTCTCACAAAGTATTTAAGCATGATACCATCTTCTACTATAATGTAAAAAGGTTGCTGATAAATAAAACAGAACCTTGATGTCAAATGGTTCATTAATCACCTAATGAAAACTTGGAACTGAGAACTGAAATAAACTCCATAGCAGTAATATATGTGAATGGGACGTGCCCAAGATTATAGCTACCGAAAGAGATTTAAAAGCAGGTCCCAGAGAAGATTTTACTAGAAGAATCTATCCATAGAACCTGGCGGTGGATGAAAGAAATTTTTTAAATGGCAATAAGGATTCAAGTCAGTACAAATATAGATAGGGTTTGCAGTCCTAAAACCTAGGATGGAAACTCTGCTTTATTACTTACAACGTGTGGGATTCTGGGTAAGTCATTTTGCATCTGTAGGCTTCCATTATCCATAAAATAAGAAGACTGGATTAGATGATTAATAAAATTCCTCCCAGCTCTAATTCCTATAATCCCAAATTTGGGGCCAGAGACAACCAATCAGCAATAGCACAAAAAGAACAACAATAAGGTACTCATAAAAAAAAGAAGGGTTTGGAGATATAGATATAAGAATCATTTGCATATTAGGTAATAGAAATTATATAAACAAACTCTAGTGGTGAAGTGGATAGAACCATGACTCGAAAACAAACTATGAACAACACCTAGTTAACAAAAAAGGATCACTTGAAGCTTATAGGTGCATAAATACCTAGGTGATTTATCAAAAGATATTATTGGTAGTAACCACTTAGTAGCATATTCTAAAGCAAAACAAAACTAGTTCAATGAGCCCCAATTCCCCACTGCTAACATGCCAAAATCACCTCCATTCTTTTAAAAAAAAATTCACTTGATTTTACCACTCCACCAACAAGTCAATTCTCTTTGTCTTCTACTTTCCATAGTCAAATTCCTTGGCAAAAACAAACAAAAAAACAAACAAACAAACAAAAAAAAAACAAGTTCACTAAAACTTCAACATCTCCACTTCAGCTACTAATCACCTCTTGCCTGGATCACTACTAAGTACAAAGTGTTAGCCTAAAAGAGGAAAAGGGAACAATACAAAAGAATAGGTGGAAAGGCAAACTTAAAAATTATAACCTTAAATGCAAAAGGATTAAAACTGTAAATTAAATTTGGTAGTATTGTCTTTTTTTATTATATTGGCATGGCCCAGCATTAACACTAAATATTCATCTATTTAAATTATTCTTTATTTAAGGAGTATTTTGTATAATTTGGAAGATGGTACCCCCAAGTATTTTGGGCCTTTTGTTAATTTGAATGGAATCTCAGCACAGAGCCTGACATATAAGTATTATATAAATGTTAGCTATTATCATTGCTGCTGCTGCTCTCTACCTTATCAAAGATACATCTATTGAGATAATTACATGGATGGTTCTGTGGATACAGTGCCAGGCTTGGAGTCAGGAAAACTCATCTTGGGTTCAAATCCATCCTCAGACACTTACTAGCTGTGTGACCCTGGGCAAGTTAGTTAACCTCAGGTTGCCTCAGTTTGCTCATCTGTAAAATGAGTTGGAGTTAAGGAAATGGCAAACCACTTTGCCAAGAAAACCCCATAAAGGGGTCAAGAAGAGTTGGACATGACTGAAAACTGAATAACAAATAAAAGATGTGAGAAGGACGACAGTCCAGATCCACTCCTTTGGAGACACAGGCAGTCCAGAGTTGTGACATACTATACATATTCAGACTTTTCTCATGTATTGCTTTATTTTGCTGATTTTTTTCCTTCCTTCCATTTAAAAATATAGTTTGTTATATGGCATGAACCTCTGGGAAAGGGAAGAATGCTGGGGGAAATTTTGTTGACATAAAAAAAGATACCAATAAAAGTTACTTTTAAAAAGTAAATAAAGTTCTCAAAATTTAACAGAAAAGAAGATTGGGTTTTAAAAAGTTTATAAAATACGAGACATTTTAAAAACAATCATATAGGATAAAACAGAATACAGAATAAAACTAAGTGCTGCATTAGATGATTCCAAAAAAATACAACTTATATTCATATGATCAGATAGGGCAAAAATAAAATTTTACAAATGTCAAGTGATAAAAGAAAGATACTACAGTATGCTTCAAGGCATTATAGACACTATCATCACTATCATTACTAACCACAGGTACACCAAGATAAAGTACCTAAATCCACAAAGAGAAAGTTAAACAAATTTCAAAAAGACATAGACAGTAGAATATTATTGTAAGAAACCTTAACATTCTTCTCTCAAAGATGTAAAAATCTAACAGATTATATTCATTAGATTTTGGAAATTAAGAGCTCTTGTACTAAGCCATCTGAATGAGAATACTAAAGAAAAATGACCATCTGCAAAAGCACAGAGACCAGAATACAAAATATTAATTATGTCTTTTATAAAACAAATTAATTAAAAAAACCAAATTAATAAAAATAGTAATGTTAAGTGTCTAACAAACAGAAATAGCAATTTAAGTGTTCAAAAGATAGATGCCTAAATGGAGAATAAGTAAGCACAACCTGAATAATTAATGGGTCAAAGAAGAAAAAAAGAAACAAATAACAACTGTGTAAAAGAAAACAAAGAAAACATAAAAGTTTTGGAGGTACAAGCAGTCCTCAAAAGAAACATTTATTAGCAAAGTAGAAAAAGATAAAGAGAACATGCAATTTAAAATATATAACATTAATAAACCTAAAATAAGAACAAAGGGGGAAAATCTTGAAAATTAAAGATAAGAAGGCAATAGTAACAAAAGTTTAAAAACTGAGCTTTTAGTCAATTTACGAGAAAAGTCAATCAAAATTTTTAAGTGAACAAGGTGAATTCATAATGAATAAGGATCAATGGAATTGTTGGAAACTATTACACCCAATTTTATATGCAAAAGAGAATTTCAAGGAAACCTATGATTAACTACAAAAATATCAAATACCCAAATTAGCAAAAAAAAAAAAAAAAAAAGAAAGAAAGAAAAGGAAAGAAGGAAAAAATAAACAGATACTTTAAACTAATGAATCTCAGAAAGAGAAAGTGAAGCTATAAATGAACTAACATAGAGGGAGGAAAAACCTATCTTGGTACAAATAGATTTACAAGTATATTTTACAGAATATTAAGTTTACAAATATATTTTAATGACTATTTAAAAGGTAATTGACATTCATGCTACAAAAATTATTCTAAATAACTGCAAAAGTGTTCTATTCATTCCTTTTTTGATATGATACTATTAACCCATACTAAGGAGAAAGCAGAAATAGAGAAATATGAAACCAATCCGATGAATTAAGGTTCCATTAAAATCCTAGTTAAAAAAAATACACTAATATATACAAAATAAAATTATTCACTGGAACTAAAAGTTTGACTTATAACAAGGATTCATGAATAGGTCAACATTAGAAAAACAATTAGCATCATTGTTCACATAAAACAAAAAACACATGATTTTATCAATAGCTGCAGAAAAGGCCTGTGATAAAGCGGCACTTGCCAACACACACACAAAAACTAAAAGGCCTTTTTTTGATCTGATAAAAAAAAATTTAATCTAAAACCACATTTGCATCATTTGCATTGTTTGCAAATATAAAATATTAGACGTTTTCCCAATAAATGGAGGAGTGTAGCGGGAATATTCCCTCTCTCCACTAC